CTCCTGCGGAGCGGCTGGTAGTTTCGAACCACTGACCTTAAGGTTCGCAGCCCGATTCGTAACCACTACGCTACCAGAGCTCCACATTAGGCTCTTCTAAAATCTATTTCTATGAACTCAGATTGACAACAGCAATTCAAAAGACTAGAAGGAACCCCAGAGAGCAGTGAGTGTATGTTAATGGGGGAGAATGGCTACAGAACTCCAAGAAATTGTCAACTTGGTATGTTTTGCTGTGTATATTCTCAACAACAAAATTAATTTTTAATTGCCATTTTAAAATGTAGGCTTCAGTGACATTCCACTCACCATTTCATATAACCATTACCATTATTACCCATTTCCAAATATTTCACATAACCCTAAGAGGAAACTTTGTACTCTTGGAGCAGTAACTTCTGATATTCCTTTGCCCACAAGTCCACTGTTACCATAATCAATTTTTGTATCTTTGAGTTTGCTTATTCTAGATATTTCATAGAAGAGAATCACAAAATATTTGTACTTTTGTGACTAACTGATTTCACTCAACATAATGTTTTAAAGATATGTCTATGTTTCAGCATTGCAGTACAGGATACAATTTAATATGGCTTTTCTAGTCATAGTCTTTGTGGCTCCCACACAATGACTGGGTGGGGCTAAACAAATGAGTTGCTTGTTTTCTGCCAAGAGGATTACACAACTTGCTGATAATGTCTTAACTGGACCACCATGATTTGGCAGTTACGTAATGAAGTAAGTGTCCTCCACTTTGGGATCTGATGTAGTTGTCCTTCATGTTGTTGTGATCTGATGGAATATTCCTTGTCTCTAAGGTTATGGTTATGGTTATGGTCCCATTTGAAAGTGAGTTGTCCATAATGTTGATGAGAAAGAATTAGGAGGGTCTCTTAAGGATATGACTCAAGTCACACCCTCACCCCATTTACCACCCTTATCACCCTTGTTCAAGCCACACCCTTACACCATCTTGCTCAAGTTGGGGTGCTTCCTTGAGGGTAAAATCTGCAGTAAATAGGAAGATAAGTCGTAAAGTACTGCTGCTAGGATTCCAGTTTATACTTGCGTGGGTTTATTCCAAACAATAGGTGTTTGAACATATCTGTTTTTAGTGGATGGCTGCAGGCAAGTTCTCTCAGTAGTATACGTGTTGTAATTACATTGGGATGCTTTAAAAAAATTAAAGGTCCAATTAAAAGAGTAACTTCAGAAGGGATCTTCTGGGCTAGGTAAATTCAAAGCTGAGAGGTCAGTTCAAAAGGTTATACCTACTGTATTTTTGGAATTCTAAAGAATTAACCAATGAAGACTTTCAACTGTGTGGATCATGACAAGCTATGGACAACATTGCAAAGTATGAGTATTCCTGAACACTTAACTGTGCTCATGAGGAATCTGTACATGGACCAAGAGGCACTTGTTCTAAGAGAATATGGGAACACTGAATGGTTTAAAATTAAGAAAGGTGTGAGAAAGGGTTGTATTCTTTCACCATACTTATTCAACCTGTATGCTGAGCAAATCATCTGAGAAGCTGGGTTCTATGAAGAAAAATGTGGCATCAGGATTGGAG